AATAAATAAACACATTGCTTTTTGTCTTTGGGAATTCTAGAGATTATACATAAACCCTCCTCAACTTCAATATATCTGTTAGGACAATTCACACGGAGTGCATACTTTTCTAAGCTTTAATGCTGCCAGAGACATTGATTATTTTCTGGTATCTTGACTATCCTTTCCAGCTCTGCTCTTCTGATACACATGACAGATCAGAAAGTAATCATTTGCTCTTATTAATTACCATTTCTGAATTGTCAGTTCCTCCTGCGGTATAATTTATTTTGGACAATTCTGTCCAGGATAAATAATGTTTTAAATGAAGTATTGGCCTTACTGAGAAACATTATGCAATTTCATAAATGTAAGCGTTTATGATGCTTTCTCTAATATTATTTCCATTATGAATTCCAACTAAGTACAGTTGGTAAGTTTCAGAGAAATTATTCAAAGACAGATTGGTTTGATTAGAAATGCAGGTTTATGATACCAGCTTGCAAAAACTTCAAACCAGAGTTAAAGAGAATAGATCTGAAACCTCACTTCAACTTTTGATACAATTCTATTCTCAATATGAGCACTTGCTAAAAGCCAAGAAACTCTGCTATTACAAGGACTAATGGAGAGAGATGGATTTCCACAGTAAGGTAGTCCCCAGTTTAAGGACAAGTTCCATTCCCAAGGTCTGTCCTTAAGTCAAATTTCTATGTAATCCAGAATAGTATTGTTGTATAATATTGTATAAGTAGTATTGTGTTATGAACTCGAACCATTGTGTATTAAACTTGAATCATTGTGTATTTAACTCAAATTTTGCTAACATAGGCTCCATTTTTAACTATGGGTCATCTGTAAACTGGGTGTTCTTAACCCAGTATACAGAAAAAATAACAGGAGGCTTTGGTGTCATTTGATTTATATGCATGCAATCCCACCACAGTTACAAATATTCCACACTGAGATACAATTCTACTCTTCCTTGTCCATCTACAGTAGTACCCAACATGAATTAATCCAAAAATATCCACTTCCTAAATTAGTCTTATTTCCAGAGTGGCCTGTACCCTCAGCCCAAAAATGCTGATTGAAGCTGTGACTCTCGGGAAACTTCCTGGTTTGTAAAGTGAATATTCATTGATCATCCCCCTTTTTTCTATTTTTTTTTCCAGAAATTGATCATACCTATGCTATCTATACCAGTTGGAAACAAAGTATGATATGCCCAAGGCAAGCAACAGGAGCCCTCCAATTGTTGCACAATTAATCTATTGGAATATTCTCCAACATATCCTCCATATCTTCTAAACAAGTTGGAGAACTGGGCCGATTTTGTGAATCCCTATCACCCAGAGCAAGCAGACTTTAGCACAGATTATAGCACAGCAGACCACTGTATCACCCTGAAGGATTTGGTGCAAAAATATACTAATGGCCATAGCAAATATTTTTATGTTGCATTTATGCTTCATCATCCTTTGATTCAATCAATAGATCTAAATTGTGGGGAAAACTTGGGAGAACCAATATCATTAGATGGCTTCATGTTATTGATTGAATTGCATTCTAACCTCATAGGTAAAGTGAGAGTGGGTTGAGCAGAGTCTAGTTTTAACTGAACTTGAGAAATCAAACAGGGCTGTTTACTGCCTTCCTTCCTGTTCAGTTTTTATATTAATGATATTATTTCAGATATGGAAACAAAATTACTCCCCCCCCCACTTAATAGGAGTAATGTATGATAAAGTCCATGATAACAATTGCTGTCCTTATATTGTGGAAATATACGTTTTGTCCTCTGTAGTGGAATTTAAATCCTGATGTAGTCATGTGGTGACTTTGGATATATATTTAATATAGCTATAATTTTATTTACAGTAGATCAATTTGGTTTTTCGCCTTTTACTTTATGTGTTGTGTATTAGGTATTATGCCTGTATTATATCTATGGTTATTAGAATATATTTTACTTACTAAATCTGCCTCACTAAACTCAAAGTACACCTCCAAGATTTTAATATAACTGTATTTATACTGAAGTTTATTGATTTTGCTACAAATTGGTTACTGCTTAAAGTTTTAAGTAAATCTGATTAACAAGACTCAGATCTCCCAGTAGCCACTGAAATACATAGATCACTATAGGACCTGGGCTATAGTGGACTCTCTTTGAGCCCAACCCACCACATGGGGTTGCTGTTTTAGAGATAAAATATACATTGTCTTGAGTTCCCTGAGAGGTATACATGTGATGGGTGGATGGATAGAGGGAGACAGATAGAGACAAAGACAAACAAATAGATATCTTTTCTTACCCAGTTGTACAGGTTCTACTTCTACTCCTTCCCATTTTATCAGACCCACACGCAGTAAAGTTCCTATTGGGATATTCCAGCCTGCAGATCTGTCGAAACCGGTGTGACAAGATTTCTTATTTTTGAGCTCACTAAGTGAAGAGATAGTTCCTTTCTTTACAACAGCAATAGCATAATAACTCGTAGTAGTTTCTGACAAGGAGAGAAGGGAAAATCAAATATAGGTCCATAGCGTAACAGTAAAGAATATTTCTGCTTCTCCTTATGGTGATAGCCTCTGGCTATTTCCAACAGATCATGTGAATTCAATTCATGTAACATCTTATGCCATAGACGAATCAGCTGGCTGTATTAAGCAAAACTAATATACATTTATGACTGGGACTGCCAACGTACTTCTATTATAATTATTTGTAAGGTTAATAGGCTGAAACTATTTGTATAAATGAATTAAATAAATTAAAGACTAAAACACCCATAATTGCGTTAAGGTGAAATTGAACACAGCAAATGTAAAACAAGGAGACTGTATCTGAAAAAGGAGGAAGGACAAGCTTTTTCTTTTGATCAGTCCAGAGGACTTCACCAGTTGTGGGCTGTGGTAAATGTGGTTCACAGAGAACATCAGGCCACCATCATGACTAAAGCAGAGGAAAGAACTGAAATTCAGAAAGGGGATTTAAGCTGGCTTAGTTTCCAGAGGTTTGTATGCAGGAGTCCAGCAGCTTAAGGCTGCAGAGCAGAAAACCCTGAGTGTGTCAAATTATCCTACTGCTGCATCCTTGTATCACAGATCCAAATCTCATCCTCTGATATATCTGGAGCCTCCAGGAGCCAGTATCAGGAAAGACCATTAATTTAGCACTACAGCAGTGTTTCTCAAACTTGGCAACTTTAAGATGTGTGGACTCCAACTCCCAGAATTCCCCAGCCAGCCTGGGGAAGTCCACACATCTTAAGTTGCCAAGTTTGAGAAACATTGGACTAGAGCATAAACTCGGCATGCACTAGATCTCCAGATCTGGTCCCTGATGGCTTTGTCTGAATCTCCAAGTAGATTCTGCATGGGAGCTACAGCAACCTACGTATTCAGTTGCATTCATGTTAGCAATTCTTTCTTTACTTCTTTATCAAATTTGTAAGTTCACCCACCTATCCAACAAAACTGTAGATACCAAACATCAGCAATAATAGGACAAACAAAAATCCAGGTCAAGGCCTTCTCATTAAAAACAAAACATCTACGCTGTATGTCCACACCAGAGCTCCCAAAATAATAACCTGGCCCCAGTGCCTTGGGGGAGAGCCAGGTTTTCACGGCTTTCCGAAAGGCCAGTATGGTTGGAGTTATTCATATCTCTGAGAGATGGCTGTTCCATAGGACAGGTCCCATGACAGAGAAGGACCCACATAATCATCCCCCCGCCCCCATGAGCAGCCATTGGATGAATTATACAGTCTTTCTGCATTTTCAAATCAGTAAATTCAGATTTACCTTCTGAACCTTTTTTATGAACTTCAGCTACAATAGGCTTTAGATTGTAAGGGCTCAGCCCTGCTTCCGCAATAAGACCAGCATCTAAGGTGATGGCATCTGCCTCCGAGTTCTAAAAAACGTAAAAATAGAAAAATAAGGAGAGAATATTTCTTTGGCATAAAAAATGTCATGAATATGTGATAGTTATATCTCCTTGTTTTTTACTAGAACTGGAAATTAACATGACTTCCTGTTCTTTCACAAACATGTTTGCCATGAAGAGTGATACAGCTATCTTGAACTGACCACTGGGCCTATAGGTCAGATTCTTAAGTTGCCATCTGGTCAAATTCAAGGGCATCCACAGAGGGGATCAAGAAAGTCAAGATGGTAGCCACAACTGTGTGATTGAAGCATGTCCCCTTTGTTACATATTGTTTGAAGGGAAGGGAAGGAAAGGGAAGGGAAGGGAAGGGAAGGG